TCTTGTTGTTTTCACACTTTTAGTTAACCTCACGTTCAAATATATTTTTTGTAGTTGTCATTTGATATTCCTAAGGGGGGCATAGTTAATGTCTTGAAAATATTATTGCGAGCTACCATTTCTCGAAGAAATCAGCCCTAGAGCACAATTGATGCCTCAAATCGCTTGATAGCTGGAATTCAACTCAATTTGTTGGTTTAAAAGGTTTCTAATATACTTCAAGACAATTCCAGTAATAGTTGAGAACTTTGAGATAACATCTTAAGAAAGTGAGAAAACGTAATCAACTCATAATTCTATTCAATTGTTATTATTATTTTTTCAAATGGCAAGCTTTCTGATATTTATCATTAGCCCTTAAACTTTGACTTCAGCTTTCCCCAAGGGTGGGGGGTACATTTATAGCAAGCTAGTCATAATAAATCGAAGTCAAATCAAATGCCGAGTGATAGACTTTTTTTGCCGTACGAAGATACGTTGTCCAGGGTTCACCACGTGGAGATAAGTCTATCGCGCACCCCATCTATTCAATTGTTATTTTGTATATAAGTAGTGTTTGACCAGATTCGATTCTTTCGTATATTACCACAAAGGTTTAGAAACTTAACTTCTCAAAGTATACAATCATGTTGTGTACACGGCCAAATTCCAAACATCTTATACAATTGCACTGAAGGTGAATTATACCTCATCTGGATATTATCGATTGGGCGTACAACTCCCTAAACCGACTTCATGAAAGTTCATCAGTATGACGAAATAAGCACGACATTTCTCCTCAAGTCATGCTTGTACACCCTTAGACCTCGCAAGTTAATGGCAAAGAGAGTAAATTAAACCAGGACCGGTCACTGAAGACCTGAAAGTGATTACTAAGGGTGGGGTTTGTACGCACATTTTGTCCTTACATTGCCGTCTGGAAAAAAAGAAAAGCAAATAAAACATAGATTTTAGGGCGCGAAAAGCGACTGCTTCCTTGCTTAGTTAGTGATAGTGGTCCTTAAATGCGTTGTATCCCTTTGCAAGCTTTTAACAAGATTATCTTCCATCTAATCTGGTAGAAGTCAGCAAACGATTTGTGAAAAAATTAACATATGTCCAAGTGTCTGCGTGCAGTTTTTCGATAATATCGACTGAAAGGGTATGACTCAGCACTTTGGGTGCACGTGCCTTTATAAGAAGCGAGGAAAGAAAACTGCATCTAGTTTGCCATTAAGACTGACAATTAATATTTGACGCGTTTTAAAATTGATTTTTGTAAATAATTGTAACTTTTAGCTTCTTGCACATCACTTCACACTTTGTAAACATTGCAGTCACAAACAGTTCACTTTTCCTTACACAAAAGCCTTCCAGTTCTATTTGCTAAAGGAACATGAATCAAATAAATCACATTATATCTTAGTGGAGAAAGTAACTATGGTTTCTAATATTTTCATATTCTCATGAAAGTACATATATACCAGTGCTCTTCTGATCGAAAAATGTAGGCCAATGTTCAGTTCGTTTTGGAATATTTTGTTAACTACAATTCACTTAAAAGTAATAGGTTCGTCAAAATTGCAGATGGAAAATAGTAACATTCATTGGTTTGTACCGCCAATATTTACCTCTACAGTTATGAAATAAATATTCTTTCCATCTATTCTGCTCCACTTGTATATTTTCTGCTGAGATGATGAACCAACTATATATAAAGATTTTATTTTAGACCAGATTTAAATAAACTCTAGTTGATATTTCATCAAATAATCATCCGATATCTCTACAAATTAGAGATTCGACTGGCCTTTGTTTACCACAATAAAAAAGACATTTTGTCCTAAAGGTCGAATAAGTAGAAATCCAATGACAAAAACCAAAAGTCATGAGCCTTTTAAACGAACAAATAAGCAAGGGAACAATTTAATAGATCACATTGCTAATTCCAAACCATTAATCCCATCTGGTTACTAGTTTACGGAAGATGATAAAGATAGTTATTAAGGTATAATTTCATATGAAACGAAATTAATCTAGTGTTTCAAACTCTAAACGAACTGAAGTCTGAGCCTACACCAACAACCTTTGTCCTATCATTGTCCAGACACGAAGAAAAAAATATCGCGTCTAACGTAAAACCCCGGAGTACGTGTTACACATAGACTCTTAACCGTGATACGTGTCGAAGTCATGAAGGAAGTGGTCGATTGGTACGGCCGCACCACTGCAGTGAAGAGAAGGACTGGAATGTTATAGCAACTCACGTGACTATCCTGGTGCGAACGTGCTCTCCTTAAGTGCGCAAGCCAAGTTTGCAGTAGTTAGGGCAAAGACAGAGGAAAGAGGAGATCCAGAACTTGTTTGCTAGCCACATTGCTAATAGCAACGTTCCTCTTTCTCATAGCTATTGGATTTCAATAAGCAAATTTAAGAGTTTGATAATTCTTGATTGTTCACCAATCTTTGAAAGAAAGTAAAAAGGCAGCTGGGTAGACGACATACTTAAGACTGAATTTGACACCGAGGCTCAAACTCACGAGCTTTAAGAGCACTTTGTCCATAAGCAGCTCCGAAATGGAAATCCCACAATCAGCAAAGATTTAACCACTTAATTATGTCTCAACGCGAGAAGCTGCAAATCTCGAAATGCGCATTATGTTATGCGAATAATTTGCACAAGTTTATGTCTGGACATTTTTTAATAAGGGTAGTTTCAGGGATCTTTCGGAGTAACTGTTCAAAGAATTCGGAATTTTTTATTCGCTTCGGAAAAAAGCGACTTTACTTTAAAGCAGGAACACTGCCAAAAGTTTCTGCCTAATATTTTAATGCTGCAATGTTACAAATTCGGCTCTTTAAGAAGAAATTAGAATAACCAATAAAACTGTCTGTTAATGACAATTAAATAAGTTAATTTTGATGGTTCGGTGATTTCAGACTTTCCCCGATAATAAATAGAGCATCTGGCAATGGAATGCAAAGATAAAGAGACTGTTAGCACATGTTATTATGAAAATGATAGCTTAGAACTATTCAATTTTATCTTAATAGCGGTATATTAGTCATGGTTGACCATATAAAATTATTCGCAACAGAAGGTAAAATTGTAAGATATTCACAGGGCAGAGATTGTTGGAGGATCAGATGCATATCTTGGGGAAAGAAAATAGACTCTGAGCCTCAAGGATTGGAGCTTCTTCTCGTTAAACACTCAACTCAGAGTGAAGAAGACTTACTGGCGAATCCTTATTAATTTTGGAATGTTCTCAATCATTTCCTTCAGAAGTGAGTATACTTACTCTTGAGATGTCTCTTGATTGGATTTAAAGGAGTCTTAATGTGGCATTCTGATGGATAAAAGCTTAAGCCTTTGTGCTTATTTCGATTTGAAACATCCAAAACGGCATTTAAGGTGGTTGGGTTCGAAACATTTGTCAGTTCCATTATCTCAACGATTATTTAATAACTATGTCTTTTGCCCTAGGAACACTCACATGCTTTCCTAAAACAAATATCTAGAGACAGCTTCTTTATCCATTTGACAATCGTATTTTCTAGTTAATGATCATTGATTACAGGATTAGAAGACATTACTCCTCACTAGAAACCATCGACTTTGAAAAGTTATTAATTTGTAAGGCTTTTGACCTTTACTCTTTCGATATTTCACTTTTGTATGAGAAAGTAGGCAAGAAAATTTGAATTAAAACATAGATTATATGGAAAATTAATGCGTTAAGACCAAAAGTAGCCCTCAGATGGACCACCCACGTTAATAAAGCATTAATCACTAGGACCCTAAGTGATTGAAAATGTAAGATTGTCAGGAGAATTTTAGATCGACTCAAAAAGTGTAGCTCCATTGACCCACCTGTAAATCTCATAGGTGGTAACGAAACAGCAATCCTGGGTCCTTTCGAGACACTCCTATTTGTTTATAGATCTTGAATAAAGTGTTAACTCTCTCCCCAATTATTCGACCTACTAGGGAATCATCGTATTAACTAGTAATCGGAAATGACTAGTTTATGGTTTTTGACCCCCTGAGTAAATCACTTCTGTTAATTTAACTATTTAGTTAGAAATAAATGCAACAGGAAATTCGAATTAAATATGACAACCTCGAAGGTTTAACAGTGCCAATTCCGAAAATCTATGACTTTACATAACCATCTGATCGACCTAACAGAGCACTGGTTGTTTGAAGTTATCTCTTAGTGAGCTTGGAAACTCTATATTATCCCACTTTGTTCAGTTTAATTTGGATTTCGGAGTGGCAGTGTTCCACTTTAAATGAGAAACACTCCCGTTTGGTCAGAAATTTCCGATCTGGCATTTGGGTCTTTAAGGTAAGTTACTAAAGCACGCTAAACAGGAATGCCAGTTCCATCATCCCTTGTTCTACTACCACCTGACTGCTTAGAAAAGACAATTTAATCACCAGGACGTCCACCACTCATTGTTTACAACACTTTTCACTCAATATGGGAAGACTAGGAAGGCTTGCGTGTTTCCACCTTTCAAGGTTGGCTGCCACATTCAGAACTTATGAATCAATAAAAATCAAAACCTGCCAAAAAAACAGAGCAGGTTCATATTGAAAATTGTGGAAAATCGAAAGCGAGTAGTGGAACGCTCATAATTGTGACGATACCTCAACAGATTTCTATCACAACAAATACAGAGTTAATAACAATACTTGTATTTATTTTTTATATTAAAAATTTGGGAGCACACACGGAAGGGAATTAGTGAAAAGCGAGAGGTAAAGCGCATTTTTAGAAGAATGCAATAAGAGGATAAGCAGGGAAAGGGATAGTAAGAAAATGGGATAGTGCCAACGGGCTATCTTATGTGACAACCCGAAATTAGACTATGAATTCTCCTCAAAATTTCAACAGAAATAGAGGAATTGGAAAGGTAGGGCACACGTAGATCGAGTTATTTTTGCTTTTGGTTTGAAGACGGTTGCTTGGAGAGAAATAGGGTGAAAAGAAGGAACGAATGAGCAGAAATGCCTAGATGCGTTCGATTGCACCGCTCGTTTTGCGAATACTATCACCCTCCGAAACAAACCTTCTTCTTGGACTAGATGGAAAATAACTTATCAGACTAACCCAAAAACAATGATTTAAGCTTTATTATGAATGACAAAAGAACCTACTTTTTGGGCATCTCTTTGGCGAGCTTTTGAGGCATAAAACCCATCTCAACGGCAGTGCGCAAGAAACGCTCAAGAAGAACATAAATAATGGGCATCTCCTGCTGGAGAGTGGGTAATTCAGTATAAATTCTTCTAACACCAGTCACCAACTGGTCGTAGCTAATAATAACAGCACGACACAATTTATCCAACAGTTCTAGCATCTTAATTCTCACTTCGTCTTTTTCATTGTATTGCATTGCGATAATAATAGCCTACAGAGAGGCGGCAATCAAGATATATAAAGCACATTCTTTAAAGTGACAACTTTAAAAGAAAATGATTTACACACCTGATAGACGACCTCATGTAGGAAATGCGGAGAATCAAGATCATTCAAGCTGCTGATGACGGTCTCAAATCTACCACCACTAGCGTAGCGCATGATAATGGAGTAGATTTGCTTCATCAACATAGTTGTAACACGCTCATTTGGTGGAATTCCCCAGACAATATCTAAATGACGGTATGCGTGGTTTGAAGTGAGGAGTGATTCCGCATTGTTGATAGCTTGCAGAGCATAGTTAGGCTCATCTCCACTAGGTGGAGACATGTTGGTATCGCATGAACTAACACCAGAACTGCTACGAGTCGCTCCTACACTTTCTGGGAAATTTACGCTATTATGGCGTGATGCTATGCGAACCGGAGGATGAACAGTATCAGATACAATAGGAGATGTACCAGGAGGTGGCATTACGGCATTCAAATCCTTGTACTGTTGAACGAATTTTGGCGGGAGGATGTCATCCGCAACGGCGCGAGCAATGAAGCGACCAATATACTGCAAAAAAGACAATATGTACACAGTTGTTTGAAAATGAGACTGAAGGAAATTTTTGAAAGTAATCTTACATCAGGAGCCTTAGGAACATCAATAACGATTTCAGGCATATCGTCAAGGAGCAGGCGGAAGCTTTGTTGCATCCCAGACATGCTAATAATCTTGCCGCACATTTCAGAGAGTAACTCCGAAGTCAGTTCACAATGGCCAACCTTATGTTGGAGGGCCAGATTAATAGCTAGAACAGGAAGACGTCTTCTTTGCATTGGAGTCATTGCAATACCTTGTAAGGCTTCCTAAACCAATATAAACACTAAAACGAAGTCCAAAGCAACAAAAGGGCCTCAAAATAAATAATTAATGCTTACAATTATTTCGTTAACATTGCAATGATCATAGTACGCATGAATAAGATCTGAAACGCGGTTATCGAATTCTTCTTCATTATAAGCTGCTTTTATGTTTCCGAGGACTTCAGGACTCTAAATTTAGCAATTATTTCTTCAATGACTAAGTACCTCTTCATCAGACTCATAGTCTGGGTCATTTGGATCAAGCTCCAACTCATCCAATTCATCACAAGCGATGTCCCAAACGTCTTTGTCAGACGCTAATAACGAAAAATAACACAAGAAAAGTTACAAACCTTTTCTTGATCCACGCCGAAAGCCATTACGGGGCTTGCGGCTATTCTTGCCATAAGATGTGCGATTACACAGAATGTTTCCTGCTCCGGGGGCACCACCAGTAGTAGCAAGAGTAAGACCATTAACTCCTGCGTGACTCATAGAATTGTAATGAGTACGATTTTTCTTGATTAATCTTGGATTTTGATTCGCATTCGATTGTTGAACGGAAGCCTTTTTGCTCTCCCTGCTGAGATCTACCGTAGGGAACTGCTTGACTTCAGACATTGTAGAAAGGTGACGACAGTAAAAATAGTGAGAAAGACTATCGGTAAAAATTTAAAGTGGTCGATTTAGTTATAATTTTTTAATCTATGCGATCCGGAGCTATCAGAGCAGTCAACAACAACGAGTCAAGATGATACAGAACGTATTCGTTTTCGCGGCGCTTCTAATTGAGCAAAACAAAACCTTTGTTTGATTAAATACCCAATACTAGCTTTACAATAGTGTTTTTAAGCAGGTAAATCAAGTTTTTAAATTTAAAAAATAATTTAACGTTAAATTTTAACGGTTACTTTGTCAGTCATAGTTTAAAGCATAATTTATTATAAACGGCAAAATGGTCGATAACAAAATTGGTAATGAAATATTACTATCCTTTGAATTTATATGTACAAGGGAATTCAACCGCATTAAAATTTTAATGTCAAAACTTCTTTTTTGTAGAGCTCAGCAAAAAATACATCCGAACGAAACATTTTAAGAAAATATGCTCAAATTTTCTTGTATTTGCAGGCTGTGTGATAGATTCCTTCCTTCTATGGAGTTTTATTATGAGACATTTTAATTTAATAACTAACTTCAAGACGGTATACACTGAATTCCACCCATCATGCTGGGTAGATGGAATAATGCTATAATTCTTCTGGTCTGTATTCTTTGAGCTACAGGCACTTGCACTATGAACTAATTTCCCGTCCTTTCTTACGCATACTTTTATGCAGAGGATCCATACCACCCATATTTTTTGATTGGAATAACTTGATGTTATGGAAGCATGATGAAGAAATAGACCGAAATATATATTGATGTAGAAATGTGTCTGGTTTAACATAAAGGCACAGTTCATGCATGGTAGACGAGACTGCAGATATCAAGAGATGAGGAGTGATAACTGAAATGTTCCATACCTAATCTAGTGAACACATTTATTACCTTTTATACCAAGATTTCAGCGTTTACAAAATAAATACACAGTACTTACGATTCAAATATCCCTTTACTCCTCAGTTTCATTTAACTTAAACTTAATTTCCACCTCCTTGGAAATAATTAAGGCAATTTTAAACAAAGAAGTCCTTATTCCACAAATGAGAATTATAGAGGAGTTTATAGGATGAGTGAGAAGGTGAAAGGTTAAGGGAACGAGGGCACGAATTAACAATAAGAGTGGAAAAGAAATAAACCTGGACAAGGCATCATCTTCGTCATCAAAAGAAATGAAAGAAATTGTGTGAGAGAAATAAATGCAGCGACACAAATATGTCCATCGATCACGAAAGAGAGAACCTGACAACTATCACACACAACAATAGAAGTAAGTGATTTTGAGATCGATTGAATATCTATACACACATAGATTAAATTTGGGAATGGGGGTGGGGAAACAATATACAAACGGAGATAAGAGGAAAGGACAAGTTATTACTGTTGTGGTTGCAAAGTCGATGTTGATTGAGGGGGAAGATATCGCGAATCAAAAGTGTAGAATCTCTCCCCAAATGCCCGTCTTCGTCGCTTGAGACGATTAGTGACACGTCTAGGATGAGGTGGTGCTGGGAGATGATGATGAGATGTGGAGAGAGGGAGTTGGGATGGCATCTCTGTGTCTGAGAGGTGATAGGCTGGTAGAGGAAAGTGCGACGTCATGCCCCCACTGCCTTCATCCTGCCAGGCGTAAGTGGAATCGGAACGCTGACAGAGTGGTGAATTCCGATGAGGGAACTGATGATGTGAATTTTGTTGCTGCCACAACTCGGGAAGATGGAATAGATCCTCTGTTGATGCAGCATGCGAGTTCATCGACTTGTTTTGCTAAAAAGAAAATACAAGAAAGGCCGATGGTTTTCAATGTGATAGAACCATCATCCATAAACTGATAATTAAGCATCAGCACATCTAGTGGTTTAAGTTAATCATGGGAGAGATATAGCAGAATGCTACGTTCCAATCAATGAAGGTGCAAAATAAATTCTCATTATCCAATATGGATATTTAGCATAGTCAATAGGAACAACAATACAAATTACACTACATAGTTTTCAATGAGAAGAGAATAGGGGGGGGGGGAATTATAGGATTTCCGTCCAAAATTTCATTGTAACTCTAGTTGCAGCTAAGGTCGCCTCTTTCTCGAGAAGATTTGAATCGCGTAGCTTTAAAGACGAGCGGGTGACACAACTAAATTGGATATTGGTTTTCAGAGTAGTGGCTTGAAATTATTGCCGCTATTTCACAACCAAGTCCAAATTCATCCGGCTGTAGAAAAGAACGTATAGCTAAGAGGACTAAATCTAATAGATCATGGGCCGTCAGAGTGCCACTACGAGCAGCCACTACAGCCACAATAGAGCTGTCTTAATGGTGAACAAGCACATATTTTACCCAAAAAATGTGATCAAATCGAAATCAAAAGTAAAAAAAGCCAACATTTAAAGTAATGACAGTTGTCAGACCCATGGTTATCGATTTCCTGGTTTTGTTTCCTGAAAAAGCACCAAACTTAAGCCATGAAATTGTGTAAAATCGAAACTTAAAAAGAGAAAACTTTCTCTAAAAAAAAACAAGTCCTAATGGTCAAAGGAGAGAAGTTTACGTGAAAATGAGATAACTAGACAAACGGAGATAAGCGCAAAAGAGAAATGGTCACAAGTGACAAGGACGAAGGAAGCACTGTAGACACTTTGCGTCTTAGGACGGTAGGAAATACCTGTGAAAATTCCAATCATGGAATATGCACAGGTAGCCTTGAAACCGAGATTTCTAAATCTGATCTGGGAAACAAACGGTTCAATACTATACTACTGATTACGCAAATTACTGTTGGTACTGATAAAATTCAAACATACAAATAAAAGTTGTGATGCAGACGGCAGAGTATTTGGAGGCAGTGGTTGTTGAATATTTGCTGTTGATAGTGCTGGAGGGGTCTCATTTTTCGATCTTAGTTGAGTAGATCGTGCACGTGATAACGCGACCACTTCCTCTTGACCACCTCCTCGAGGGAAACCATCCAAACAAGTGAGGGAGTTCCTTTGTCTTTTTACGAGACCACCAATACCTCGACGTTGAGGAGTCTGCACACCAAAAGCAGATGAAGAGGCCTCACTGTCTGAGGAGCTGGAAATCACCATTGGTGTTTGTTGTTGCTGTGAATGCTGATGAGATCGATTGCCATTGATTCCATCACTTGAACGAAGACACTAATAAGAATCACAGAATATGAAAGTCGAGAAGGAATTAGAAATCTAATCCACAAATATCTAGCTTTCCTCTTATTGGTGTACTAAATAACAGGCTACTTTATCCGATTAAGTACATTTGTATAGCCTTTATTACCTATTCCTGTGTAATCTCATCCTTGTATTCTAACTGTACTATACTGTGACTAACTGCTATCAACTATATCAAAGCCTTGGAGATAGCCACAAATCTCAGTACCCTATAAAAACGGCCAATGTCTTAACGGCGGATTTGGCTCAGAAATTAGAGAAGGCAACGTCCTTACGATTTAGTACATTTAACTAAATATGCTACTTCTAAGATTAATTAACAATAAATTGCTTATTCAAATCTCATTAGATGAAAAATGTTCGTTTTTATCAATCAATGCCACTTTCTGGTTCAGGTTGTTTAAGGCAAAAAAACACTCGTATATGCTTTAGAGGGAGGAAGAGATTTTCCTAACAAACTTCAAGTGATGCACCCTGGTCAACGTATACTCATAAGGCAAAAAGTCTATAAATCTGCAGTTGACTTCAAACTACAATTAGACCACTTTATGTCATATCTGACCACTTTCACAGTACTCATCTTACCTTTTGTCTGCCTTTGTGTCTGTCTCTCTTACATCTGTAAATCACTCTTCTGTTCCCCTCCTCTCTCGACTTTTCGTGACTTTTATGTCCCTCCCCCCTATGAAGCCCGGAGTCAACGAAAGAGCTAATGATAACAATCATAAAACCTATCATTTGATATAAATCAATGTTTAAGGTCTTTAGTCTTGTTTCTATTGGGCCTTAGAAACACACAGGCCAGTGACACTACAACGACACATTACGCTACATCAGGTTAGAAATATTTTTTTACAAATATATATATCACTTCAGAAGGAATAACCAATATTACCCCAATGCCACCGATCCCACCATTGGAGGATCCATTAGAGAGAGTAGGTGTGTT